AAATGTCTCCAAATTTCTGAGGAAAACTTATTTTAAATCTAAATTTCTTTACCAAGTCAAACTAGTATTCAAGCATAAATGCAAAATAAAGGTATTTCAGAAGTGTACAGCACTTAGAAAGTTAGTACTTCAGACTATTTTGGAAAGGGAAATGTGCTCAAGCAAAGGTAAGTAAGTAGGTAAATTCAGAAAGCAGGGGAAGCAAAAGAATCACTAAAACTACAATGAAACTGTAAAACCGGTTAGTAATGACATCTAAAAAGTTATAAATATAATGTAAAAAAGTTAATTTAAAAAGCAGACCTAAAATATACATATAAAACATTTATATATTCAAAAAATAAGGGCAGCAGCTATGAAAAGCAAAAAGAAGGACATGTTTTATTGTATCTTGTTGGTGAAGTCAGTGATATGACAGACACTGATCTACTGATCTTTACAGAAAACTGTCCTTTAAACGTAAGATTACAGCTGGGAGGGCTGCTGCTGTCATCCTGTGGGGAGCGACTGCCTGAGAATAAGGACTACACAGAAGTAAGCTGAACAGAGAAATATATATTCCCAAAAATACAATTTCAGCCCCCATGTCCAGTAGTTACAGAAGGCTGAATATTCAAGGGCTTTTCAGCAGTATGAGCCAGTAAATCCCTCCTCTTATTCTCTCAAACTAATTTGAGTTACGTAGTTGGCATTTTCAAATAAGAAAGGGAATATAAAGTACCTACAAATTTATAAAAATTGATTTGAAAGTTAATTCATTGGTTCCCGACTAGCAGCTGAAACACCTGGCCACAGAGCGTCTGAAAAAGAGCGAAGACATCTTCCTTTGCTACAACAAGCAGGTGGAGACGGTTTGCTCTTGGCATCCCAGAGGCTGAGGATGCTGAACATCTCGGTGCTCTGGACAATCCCGTGTAAGGAAGCACTGTTCTGCCCAAACCGTCAGTGCCGTCCCTAATGAGAAACACTGAACCAGATGAACTGATCACGTAGGAATTTAAAGATGACCCAGATTTGCTCATCTGGAAATAAAAAATCTTTTCAGTGTTATTTAAATAAAAAAAGCCTTTCAAAAAAAAATATAACTTCATTTCACTCTTCTTTCCTGTAATCCAGGGTTATCTTTTCAAAACACAAACCTGATATTGCACCCTATAGCTTAAAAACCTTAAAGTTAAAATTCCCTCTTACGAGCTGGTCCTTCCAGGAGCACACTGTTGCTCCCTCCCTTAAAGTACAACTCTCTTTCTTCTTTGCTTATATATCTGCCACACATCCCTGAGACCTGGGTCAGCATCAGGAAAACCTGCCACAGCCTCCCTGACTAGGTCAAATCTCTTTTTTATGAGCTTGCAAAAGCGCTGTGTTCTGCTTCTTCATAGCCCTAAATATGACTGCAATTTTATATTTATGTTGATATTTGATTCATGTCTGTCTCCCCCACTAGACTATAAGTTCAATGAGGATAGAAACAGTGAAGGTTTTTGCTTATCATTTTATAACTCCAGCTACTGTCTATTATAGGAATTATAAAAGATTGCCAAGAAACATAGGAGAAATGGATGAACGAAAACCTGAAGGGACCAACACCACATTAGAAATTGAAAAGAGAATCACAGATCTATCCCCTAATAAGACCCAAGTGATTTTACAGCCGATTTATATCAAACATTAAAGGAACAAATAATTCATATATTATTTAAACCATTTTAGTCCATAGAAAAGAATAGAATATTTCTTAACTCATTTTAAAATATAGCATAACCCATTACCAATACTACCCAAGGATAGAAAAAAAGAACTATTGAGCAAACTTACTTATGTATACAGATGCAAAAATTAGAAGTAAATATTAACAACCAATCCAGGAATAAAGAAAACATTACAAGTAAGTACAGGAATATAAGAGTAGTTGAACATTGAGTAATAAATT